AGCTTTTTCGAGCTAAGTTTGACCCGCAGTTAAAGGCAACGAGCGGTGGTCGAACTTCGCCTGCAACCCTCTGGTCAGGGATAGGTACTCTAGTCAGGGAGGGAGCATTAGACTAAGAAGGAAGGGGCTAAAACCGAATAATTTCTGTTTTTTCCTTTTTACTTTCCTAGGACGTATCTATATTCCAGTGTTGCCAAATTTTCCCTCGCAAATTGCATTTTTACCGGAAGAATCTCGGGCTTTTCTAATTGAAAATACCACCGATTTTTCATCTCCAATCATGCGAAAATCAGAAAATTATGGCCAAAAAAATGTACAGGTACATTCTTGTAAAGATTTAAATTGTTTGAGTCAATTTTGCAAATTTGGAATGGAGTTCCGTTCCTACGTCCGGGAAACGATAAAATGATTACAATTTTTGGGTTAATGATAATTGAAGTTTTAGGAAGTAAAATTTTAAAATTAGCGGTTTTTTAGTGTAAATTTTTTATTTCCATGATAATAATGTAACCCAAAGAAATACTAACCGGAAAACCTTATCCGCATTTAGGTTATTTTGTGTTTTACTTCCAACATTAACACAAAAATTGATATTCGAAACAATTTTTATTCAATGGACTTTGAAACATTTCTGTCTTGGTAAACACAACATACAGGTTGAGGCAAAGATGACTGTCCCATCCCTCAGTCCCGCGACGCGGTCGGCGCGAGGCAGATCAGTTTAGCAACGATGGAGCGTGTATATTTGCACACAGTGAGTACTTTATGTACAAGCCGAGCCGAGTTGCTGAGTTGCTGGGTGCACGATAACAAGCCGCGATAGAGTGGGAAGACCAATTACTCAAGAAGATCACAGGTGGATACCAGACGAGGCTGTCGACACAGTGTCTTCGTTGCCGTAACATACTCAAGACGTTTTGTCTGCTCCTCGATCACGGCCCGATAGCTTTGAGCATAAACAGCTTAACTGCTGAAGTAACCACCGCGCAGGTACGCGGTTTGGCTTGGCGCGAAGAAGCTCCTGAACTCGCGTTTCCTTCTCTCGTGGACGTTAATGTCCTCAGTGGGTTGTTCTTTACTCGTTGGCTGTGCGTTCAGCAGGAGATGATTTTAAATTAGGGATATGCAGGTTGGAGCTGTCTCAGCGGAGAATCGACAATAATAATACAGGATGATAGAGAGGCAGCGGGCCGATTGTTGAAATTGATAGACAAAGCGATAGACAAAGAAGACATAAGGAGTATGGGGCGATCCTATTGGTTTAGATGGGTAGTTCTCATAGACTATGCGGGAAATGATAGACTAACTACAGGATCTCTAATGGGTTGCCGTTAGTTAGTCTATTACTACCCTCTTTTGTCCATTGCAACCACCCACTTCTACCAATAGGATCCCTCCATATTCTTTTTGTCTTCTTTATCTACTGCTCTGTCTACCAATTTTAACAATCAGACCACAGGGCCGTTTATGGCCGTTCCTTTGACAGCTTTTTTCCTTGGGAGGCCATGACATGGCCATTCCATGACATTTTCATGATTTCCCTGACACATCTCGACGAAATGTCCTGATAATTGGATTGCATTTTGCAAAAAGGAACCAGAGGAGTCCATTGATGTGTATTTTCTTCCTTTGCAATAAAATTACTCAAGTCATGAAAAAATATGAAATTTACATGGTAATTTTTGTCTTAAATTTACAGGTTTAGCGAGCAAGAAGAAACTGTCAATGGATAATCAGGTTTTTCTTCCAAGACAAAAGAAGTTGCACAATCTTTGCAACATTGCAATGCTCCTGGTTCCTTTTTGCAAAATGCAATCCAGTTGAGGATGTACCAGATGGTGAAGAAGACATAATTAGAAATATTTTTCAGGCAAATTTGTTGTCCGAAACGTCGAACCTTTTCTAGAAAGCAAATTAAGGTGACTTCCCCCGGTGAGTCCAGGTGATTTTCCCCTAGCTGTTAAAAATTCCCTGACATTTCCCGCTTTTCCCGGTATTCCCTGACTATGGCAACCCTGAGCTGTTTAAAAAAACCACTATATGAATAAGGCCAAGAGAACTCCCAACTTAATAATACGGGTGTGTCTTTTTCACTTCGAGCTGTCCCTCGGAACCCCCACGACATCAATCAATAATCCATAGCGTATCATGATGCTCGAATCACCAGCATCGAGAAAACGGGATGGTAATTAGGCATCTGGTGGTCGCATCATCATTCCTTTTGATATCTCGCCCTCGCTCCCGTGGCGGGGCTTCTAAAAAAATTTGATTAATGGTCCTTCCTGGTGTCCGCATCTATTGACATGGCGTTGCTGCTGTAAAGGTGAACGATTCCTCTTCCTCAACCGAACGGAATCTGTTTATTTTTGTGGCTCCCAGTCGCACGGTCAATGACACGATACTCATCGTAACCTCAAGAGTTCCGCGGAAGGGCATTCCTGATATTCGTTGGGGTTTCCAACTTTAAATGGATCAAACTAGGCACACTGTTCAAAATAAGTTGATTCTGTTCCCATATTTTTGATTTTTGGAGATGAAGCGAATTACGTCGATGGCCAAAGTACAAAACTACATGTCCCTGTTTGCGATGTTGTAGATTTCCTGTCATATTAATATTTCAATGTTTTTTAATTTCTTTTTTTAAAAATTTTAAAAAATGTTTTATGCTTTTTCCTGTCATACTTTACTTTATTTTTCCTTTGGAAAACTATTCACTGTAAGTTCTTAAGAACTCTCTTGATTTTTCCTCTCAGATAGCGAAAAATACGGTAAACATTTCAAACTAATATTTTTCTAATACATAACTAACATGTAACTAATACATTTCAAACACTCACTATAAAATTAGTCTGTTTCTTTCAGAAAAAATAAAATGGGAGCTAAAATTTTGAAACACCAAAATGGAGATATGTGCAGGTTTTGCTCTTCGGCCATAGATTTAAGACCACTGCCATACTTGCGGCTGGAACGATTTTCAAGAGGTGTTCACCCCTGAGAGGTCGGCTCCCTCCAGGGATCTAGTAGGTCTCTCCCAAAAATAGGAGGGATTATCCTAGATTTTTGCATGGCGTATACATATGTTTCTTACTTGAAATTGTATTTCAATCAATTTTTCAACTTAAACAGCTCAAAAATACTCCTGAGACGACTCAATTTTTTCTGGATGACCTCTCAACCCCCCCCCCCCATCGAATCCTCCTTTGGAATTGAAATATACAGAGAGTTCCCCATAAAATGTTTCTGGTTCTGCCTTTGCTAACACATGTTCGAAATCCTAAACTATTTCATAAATACCTTTTTCCAAAACTCCCAATGCAGATAGACTTGTATCATTTGCTGAAACCGAGAGCATTTTGATTTAAGAATCAAAATGGCCGCAATTTGAAATATCTACTTCCTTCTCAAAATCTTCAGCACTTATTTCAATCAGCGGCTCTCCAAGTCTTTTTCTGAAACACCGTCTCATCCCAACGTGTCTACATGTTCTCCGCAGCTTTTAAATTAATGTCTATCACTTCGTTCACAAATGATGGTGCTAAAACCCACCGATATTTCGGCTTTCGACGTGTCATGTCTTAATTTCGAGGTGACCGACGAGCGAGCTTACAAATTACGAGACGAGTTTTTTTTCTTCTTATTTTTTGGGGGATAAGACGTAGACACTGTAGACGAGGGCGGAGTGAGGACACCGAAGAATGACGGAACAGTTACAAATGAAGCAGCGCTTTGCATTCAAACTAGTCAAACGCGCTAAAATATTCAATTTTTTTGTCTCAGCTCAGGCTGGACTAGAATGCTCGCCGCTAGGAGTTTCGGGCGGAATTCTCCGGAATGCAGTTCCAGATTCATAGCTCTGATGTCTCGAATCCCAGGATTTAGCTCCTCGTTTCCGGATTTTGAGTGACCTCGCGTGAAAAAGTAACACGTCGTAAAGTATCGCAGCGTCTGGCTTGCACTGCAGGTTATTTGAGCGGAATTCAAAAAAGGTGGAATATCAACAACTAGAGTTTTGAAGGGAAAAAATATCTAGCAGTGCTGCAGTAGCAGAAGCGGATCCCAGCCATTTGGGAACACCGGGTTACCTCCGTTTAAACCTATGTGAAATAATCGATTCTTGTTGGAGCATCTGGCCCCTCCAAGGATCGATACATTTCCATAGATTTAAGTGGAGAAAAAGCAATGTTGCTAATTTGCAGGATCCGCCAATGTGCAGTTGTCAAGGGGCCGCAGCCGTTTAGTAAAGCGAGTAATTGAATAAAGTCGAACGTGAAATTTCGGATGAAAACCGCCAATTTTCGGGTTCATTCTGTCTTATTTCAGAGTATCAGGGATGAATCTCAAAGAAAACCTTACTAAAATACCTATTAAACTAATTTGATGACCTCATTTTGTTTTTATGGAGTCATAATAAGCTTTTGAGGTTTCCACATTTTGTCCGACTTTTTCAATTGACTCAATCCACTGTGGGCTTTATACATAGTGGTTTCCTGAAACTGCTTTTTCTTAATGGAACTTATCCTCTATTCAGAGTGAGTGTAACTCCAAGCATTAAGCTCCGAACCAAGTTAAGACACAGTTTAATCGCCCGGATAGCGCTGGTGTCTTTTCAGATTCCAAATTTCATGTTTTTCAGATTCTTGTCTGTTTCAAGCATTTTCCCACACTTCTCTCTGATTTCTCTCTTCTAATAAAATTCCCCGACTAATTCCGGTAATCCAGACCCTTAGAAACCGTGTTCAAATACTTCGAAAAAGGTCACCTCTATATTTTGTTCTTTCATGATTCTTCCTATGCTGATTTTGCGGGTTCATCTTTAAGCTTGTTCTTGCGAGTTCTCAACAAAGTTAAAACATATTTGATAAACACATTGACAACATTTTTGAAACATTTTTGAAAAACATATTGACAATGACGATATCTTCGGGCGATCGTTGAAAAATATGTTTATCGTCCCTATTCATTCGGAAAAAAAGAAACGGAGAATGAAGTCTTGGACTTACCGTTCGTAGTGAACTTGTGCGTTATTGAGCTCCAAAGCTGGACCTCCACTTTTGATTCCGACAACTTTAGCTGAAGTTGTGGCTCGATGTGCTGAAACAAAAAAAACAAAAAATTCAACTATCAATATTTGAATTTCAATTTGATTGCAATTTTTAAAGAAAACTCTGTCGGGGCACAGTGGATCGAGTCAATGAGAGAGGTCGAGACCATAGTGATTGCGCTCGGAGAGACGGCGCGATGCTTGAAGTATTCCTACAGTTTTGCAGGCGCTTCTCGGGATCGTTTAACGCAATAAGTTCAACGTTTCGCGAAGGACCCCGCGCACCGTTTATGGGACTTGGCGCCCACGTAGATTTTAATTTTTTTTTATTTCACAGTATTCATCTCATAATCCTGCTGCAGAATTATGCTTGCGATGCATGGTGCGAGCCATCGTTTTCACGCAAATCGCCTTGGAAGTTACGATTAATGCCCATTCATTTAAGTTTAAGAAAAATGGGCATCGTGAAGAATAATTCGTTAGCACGTACCTTTAAACATACACTGAAAAAAAAATTCTCGGCGTTTTTACCAGGGTCCGTTGGTACCTTTACCATCTCACTTTTTTTACCAATTATTGGTAATTTTACCAAGACAGACTGGTAAGCTTACCTAAAAACCGGTATTTTTACTGTTTTTTCCAGGTAAGAATACCACTTTTATTGGTAATCAATTCCCGGTAACTTTGCCATTTTATCTCGGTAATTCTACCACAGTCGATATTGGCGTTTTTACCAAGGTCCAGTAAAATTACCGAGAAAGTTCAATAATTTTACCGAGATTTCTCGGTGAAATTACCAATTCCATAAATGGTAATTTTACCAAGAAAAAACTGGGATCATATAGAACCCCGAATTCTTGGTAATTTTACCCTTTTCTTAGTAAATACACCGAGATTTTTTTTTTTCAGTGTAACAGAGAAGTAGGAAAACGGGAGGCAGGAGTAGATAGGAGCTGCGATTTTACGTGACCGCTGTCTAATAGCGTCTAATAGCGTTGGGTGCAAATTCCAGGAGTGCCCTGTTTCATTCGGCTAATTTTCTCCGCGCCAGAGGCGTCAAATGGAAAATAACCGGGACTTCTGAGGCGATTTGCCCGAAAACGGTAGCTCGTAGTACATTAACGCAAGAATAACTTAACATCAGGATCATGAGGAGATAACGGTGCGACTAAATAAAATTGAAAAATCTATTTTCGACTGCGACTCAGAGACTTTAACGCAGGAGTAGGAAAGTTGGATGGAGCAAAGCGCATGATACAACTATTCCGACCTCCAAGTAGGTAAAGTTGTATATTCACAAAATGAAGGAGAATCTCTTTTCGACTGTCTTGGAGACTTTAACGCAGGAGTAGAAAAATTGGATGGAGGAAAGCGCATAATACAACTATTTTGACTTCCAAGTAGGTATAGTTGTATATCCACAAAATGGAGGAGAATCTCTTTTCGACTGCCTCGGAGACTTTAACGCAGGGGTAGAAAAGTTGGATGAGGAAAAACGCCTGATGAAACTGCTTCGATTTCCAAATAGTGCATATCTACAAAATAAAGAAGAGCACGGTGTTGCAAATCATCCTAACTATTCGGTCCGTCAAACCCAACTTTCATTTCGTATAACCGATTGTTCTGTTGATTTAACGGAACTTACGAGGTTAAAAAAACTGATGAAAAAACTTCAGTTCGAAAAACTGAAAGTTCGGTTACACGAATAAAAAAATCGGCTATATTCTAGATAAAAAAAGCTTAAATCACTGATTTTCACAAAAAATTTAAATTTTCGAGAAGATTACTGCATTTAAGTATTACATTTTTGAAAAGGTTACTGAAAAATCATCACAATTAGGAAAAACGATTTGCGAAATCTTTGAAATTTAAGAAAATTACGTCGAACGCGCAATGTCATAGTGCGGCGGCTGAATCCCTGGTTACTCGAAAATGCGCGCGTAGGCCCAAGAACTCTCTGCACTCCTGAATGACACTATGTAAAATTAAAGACAAATATTTTGAAATGACGTTACACTGAAAATAAATCTCGGTGTATTTACTAAGAAAAGGGTAAAATTACCAAGAATTCAGGGTTCTATTTGATCCCAGTTTTTTCTTGGTAAAACTAAGATTTATGGAATTGGTAATTTTACAGAGATCTCGGTAAAATTATTGAACTTTCTCGGTAATTTTACTGGACCTTGGTAAAAACGCCAATATTTTTCATCGACTGTGGTAGAATTACCGAGATAAAATGGGAAAGTTACCGGGAATTGATTACCAATAAAAGTGGTATTCTTACCTGGAAAAAACAGTAAAAATACCGGTTTTTAGGTAAGCTTACCAGTCTGTCGTGGTAAAATCACCAATAATTGGTAAAAAAATTGAGATGGTTAAGGTACCAACGGACCTTGGTAGAAAGGCCGAGAATTTTTTTTCGGTGAAGCACACTATGGACATTGCAAACGAATCATGAATACACCAAAGTTTGGGCCAAAAGAAGTGCAACACTATAGAAGGAGGGGGGGGATTTTGCGTGGCGGATGAGACCGCGGTGCGGTGTAGTTGCAAGTTCCATTGATGGAGACGATGCGTGAAATCCATTCATTAAACGCGCACGGGAGAGTGTGAGTGCGGTCCGCGCTCCAATGGGTGTCGCGACGCGGGACGCGGACAATCTCGAGTGCCTTGCGCCGTTTTTATTGTATCCCGCCGTAAAAACTCACCCGCCAAATCGTGCCGATAAAATTTCAAAAATCCCCATGAGTATAAATTCAACTCTGAGTGTCAGATAGATTGCTGCTTTCATGCAATGTAACAACAAAGTGGAGAAATGGTGCTGGGTCCACATCATTTCGCGGGGAAACAAAGCCAAGAAATTCCAAAAATTAAAATTAGAGTCAAAATTAATTTTTTTTAACTCTAATGCGCACTACTGGTGCGCATTAGAGTTAGTGGACCCAGCACCATTTCTCCACCTTGTTACATACAAATCGGGCCACTTCTTAGTGTTTACTTTTTTCATTTCATGCAATGTTTACGTAAATATGTTTGCATTTAATTCCGGGGTTTCCATAATTTGTCTTTTTTCAATCCCCTGACTTCCTGACTTTTCGCTGACTTTCTTGCTTATTCCTGACCCCAGAATTTCAATAGTTAGGAGCGTTCAATAGCGTGGAGAGTTACACGTTACTCTGGTGATTTCAAATTATGAAGTAAGATATGGATGGAAAACAAAGTGCTGGTACAGTATAAACTAGAATACCTTTATAGACAGAGTATGGGCATTCCTATCTTTTTACTACAGGAAAACTGTGCCGCTTTTTGATTGGTCAACGAGTTTTTAGGCTTCATGATGCCCTTACGGCCATCAAAACAAGATGCCAGGTCACCGTAACATCGATAAGAAGCTACAATTGGCCAAAATTTTCGATTATACGGCAGTAACATTTTAAACTAGCATGTCTACGAATAACACATGAAATCACTGTTAAATCGCCTTTTGCCTTAATCAAAGGAGGATAAAAGATGTGCATAACCTAAAACTTGCTTGCTGATTACAGTCATTTTGATTGTTTATTTACGGCCGTAAGGACATCGTATCAGCCTACTTTCACGCGACCAATGAAAAACCGGCATAGACATGGCCATACTCTGTCTATAAAGGTACTCTAGTATAAACCTGTGATTCCTCAAACATATTTTGAAAATAAAATCTGGTTTTTTTTCCAACATGGCAACAATGCGCGACGGAAGCACTCTGCGTTTTTATTGGCGTTATCGCGGCGGGCATTTGGGCCGGATACACAATATGACGTCCCGGCCCCGACTTTCCTATTGATGGCACTCCAGTGTCCACCGCACGACACCCTCCCGGCCGAAAACCACTCAACCCCACTCGGAACCCCCGGGCGGATACGCTGTTTCTCCCCGGCGCGATGTGTCACGGCCGAAGGAGTGAAAGTGCGCGGTGGCGGCGGCACACGAATCGCATCTTCGAGAGGCTCGTCAAACTGCCCGACGTCGCACGAGCGAGGAAAACACAATCGCCGGGGAAAACTCCAATTGAGCCGCTCGGACGTGAAACGGCGTAAGTGATGTAGGGATAGCATTGCACTTGGGATGTTTTTCCGGCAGGACTGATTGTGAGCGTTGTTGAGGTGTCGTGGGCCCGGGGGGGGGGGGGGGGTAATCGCAGTGGGCACTTGGGCGATTTCCTCGCTGAGATGCAGAGAGACGGACTCAAGGCGAAGGGCACAACTCGAGACTGTGCTTACTTTTTTTTTTTTTGAACAAAAAAGGTAATTTATTTAGTTTGGACAAAGTGGAATCACGATAGACAGGTCATGACCCGAAGGACGGTTTATACATTCTAAGAGGTGGAGCCTAAATATTTACAATTTCTTAATCTATATTGCGTTTTCCCCTTGTACTATAAGACTGTGCTTACTGCGGAAGTGAGCAGTAACGACCAAATTTTCAAAATTCGACGGATACGATTCTAATGGACCGAATGATTCTATGACTGTGACGACAATGTTTCGGAGAGGTTTCAAATCATCGTCCCCTCCGATATTATGTCCTTCCATTGTGAACAGATTATATCACGAGGAAATATGTGTCATGGTTGGCCTACTAAATTGTCTTTCCTCAAAACTTGACATTGTTCTCCCCCCCCCTTTTTTTTGCAGTGGATAGCACTTAAAATATTGAAAAATAACGAGAGATTCAGTTTCAGTGAAGTGTAAGTTTAATCTCCAGGTGTTCTGTACGAGTCGTCAATTTTTCAAGTGAATTCTCTGAATTTTTTAACATGAAACTGACCAGGAAAAATTTCCTATCAGGATCTTCTGCTTTTGGGGTTTTCCTGCTCTTTATCAGAAATTCGCATGATTTTTAAAACTCTTTGAAACCTCTGAAAGTACGTTCCGGGTACAAATTACGAGGCCTATCGATTTGCAATATTACCTCGGAACTTAAGTTAAAACTTTTCCAAAATGATTTTTGGCCAAAGTTTGGATACATAGACATGACGTACTAAAGCGTGATTTGACGCGCGAAAATTCTC